CCCCAAAACCCCAAAACCCCAAAACCCCATTTTAAGAGATCTTTATTGAATGCTTTATTGTTCAGACTAATCCTCCTTTCTTTTTTTGATTGAAAAGCAGTAAATTCCTAGATGGGCAGTGATCTGGGTGATGCATACTCTTACAAATCTGAAGTATAAAATTATGGAGATGACGAAGGTTGCTATTAGTCAGTAGTATGCATATTCAGCAGCCTTGGCTTCTATATTTTGAAGGTTAGATGAAAGAATCTCATTAAAATTCAAATAATAAGTTTAAAATTTGTTTTTAGCATACCTGGGAAGCTGTTGGGTCCTAGATAATGGAAGTAATAGTATCCTGCGAAGAGGAATGGCTCTAATTGGAATGATCTCACATGCATCAAAGCCATTGAACTTATGATTACTTTAGTGGTTACTAAAGTGAAGATTACACTGACTACAAGAATGACTACTGCTGCATTTTTGGATACGAAAGGATCATTTTCATCAATTAGATATAAATTTATGAGCATCAGAATGATTGGATTCATTCCCCAAAGAGCATATAGCTTTCCTTTTATTGTCTCTTTTTGGACAACCATTTCTATTACAAGATATCCTGCAAAAACTATTGAGCTAATAACAGTGAATCCAACTATTGCATGGCAGATATTTAACCAAGCAGGGATTACACCTTCCAAGACAGGTAAGAATGACACAAAAGTGATTTCAAATACTTCTCCTTTGGTGAATCCAGCAACAGCCATGACTGCACATTGAGCAAGCTGCCCTTCAGTGACACCAATAACCCCAACATTAGTTCTCACCAATCCAACATGATATTCTAGAAGTTGCGCTAGATAAAATGGAAGCCAGAGAGACCCGATCAACAATTTGCTTTGCCATGTCACTCCAAGTTTTAAAGTATGAACCAATGCAAGAGCAACTAGGGTTGTGGACAAGCAATCACACCCATGATCAAAGAGTTGACCTAAAGGACTGCTACTACCAGTCCTTCTTGCTTGTTTACCATCGATGGCATCTAGAGTCTGATAAACGAATAATCCAATTCCAAATCCAAAATAAGTCCAAGATGGGACCTCAGCAGTCAGAGATCTGTCAAAATAGAACATTGCAAAGTATAATGCAAAATTGATGATGACTCCTAGAAGAGTTATCATATTTGGAGCAAGTGTCATTGGCATTAACTTGACTACAAGTTCCCAGAAAGGATTCATCACATTATCTAGCATCGAGTAGCCTCCAGATTTGTATCTATAGGTAGTATTAAAAATCCTGTGTTTGAGAGTTCCAAAATGATGCAAAGTAGTTGTTTGCCTCATTATTCACACAACTGGTGTATGAGGTCTTGAATAACTTATCCAACCACTTACTTATGATTTTTGATGTTTTTAAGCCCATCTTCAGTAATGAACTTTCCCGTGACGTAATTTTCCATTTTCAAAAATTATTACTACAGATTCAACCAAACCTCTCTTTTGGGGTTTTGGGGTTTTGGGGTTTTGGGGTTTTGGGGTTTTGGGGTTTTGGGGTTTTGGGG